TCTTTCTCCTCCTCCTCCTCCTCTTCCTCCTTTTGCTCCCCCTCCTTCTTTTTCTTCTTCTTCTTGGTCACCATGAGCTGAGCACCTTTCCTCCACCACAGGCCCAACAGCAACAGAACCAACCGACCATGGACTGAAACCTCTAAAACTGAGAGCCGAATGGCTTTCCTCCTTTAGAATTGGTTATCTCATGTCTCATATTATCCCACAGGGCTCAATATCACCTGAGCTGAATAGAATGAGCCTCGAAAGACTCTGTGGAGGTTCTGTCTACCCAGGCTCCCATTACCCGAGGGTTTCCCCCAGGGTCATCTACTCCTTGCACCTGCTGTTTGCAAACTCCCCAGGAAGCCTGAGCAGCGTTCCTCAGCTCTGTGTGGCTGAGGAGCCCAGAGAAGAAAGCAGCATCTGGCACAGAGAGGTTACCCATGGACTTGGCTCTCAGACTGTGAAATGGGGCATAGAAGATGACTGGCCTGACATGGTATTAAATAATCCTCCAGGCAATGATTACATTTGATGTCCTGGACAGAGCCTGCAGGGCCAGCCTCTGCCTGGTCAGTTACTGCCCCCACAGACGTGGGTCAGCCTGTTCCAGGCCTTAATCATTGAGGCTTTAGAGCACTCCAAGCCACCATCTGTCAGAGAGGYCTGCTGGGTTCCCTGGGCCCCACAGGGGCTCTCTGGTCCTCACATCCTRGAGCCAGGACACTCGCTGCCTCCTGGGGACTAATCTCTGGGTATGGATTTCYGGCTTTGGTACCTTGCAGCAGCACCTCAGGTGGCTGAGGGGATGGGGGTAGCAGGCAGGCCAGGCTTTTTGGAGATTGGTCTTGAAAAAGCCTCCCAAAGGAAGCCAGGTGGGTGGGCTAGCTTTATTCAGGCCCTTCGCTTTTCCTCCTGGAAGCTGCTGAGAAGGTGATTGAAGGAGGTCTTCAGCCCAGAATAAAGCTGGGACCTGGGCTGGATGACCTCTGCATGACCTCCACCTCCAGAGACCTTGGTTGCTGGTCAGGCCGCTCTGCTCTGCTCTTCTGCAGTGAACTCCATTGATCACCCTTCTGGGACATTCGGTAGCTGCTGGCCTTATTATAATAGCTTTCCAATGGTTCCATGCTCCAGGGCCTTGTTTCCTCTTCCTCCCCGTTATGGCAAGGGAGCTGGCCCAGTGCCATCAGCAAGGGGTGAAGCTCTGAGCCTGAGAACAGAGAGGGGGGCTACTGACTGGCATTCTGGGGTGCAGAGAAATATCTCCCTAAGAAAGAGGACAGGGCTGGGGATGTGGCTCAAGCGGTAGCGCGCTCGCCTGGCATGCGTGCGGCCCGGGTTCGATCCTCAGCACCACATACAAACAAAGATGTTGTGTCCGCCGAGAACTAAAAATAAATATTAAAAATTCTCTCTCTCTCTCTCTCTCTCTCTCTCTCTCTCTCTCCTCTCTCACTCTCTCTTTAAAAAAAAAAAAGAATATTTAAAAAAAAAAGAGGACAGAGAGGTTGTCATGCAGCGGGAGGAACTTGGATTTGGGGGAGAACTTCACAATTTGTACTGATATCAACATGCTCCAATACGCTGAGCACCTACTGTAGACAAGGCATTGAGCTTCCCCTTGGAGATGCTGAAGTTGAACTTGTGGGGACTGGTAAAGAGCCAGCCACCTTCTTTATCCCATGGACCTCCCTTCAGCCTTATCTCCTCCCGGGACAATACTAGCTCCTTCCTTCTGACCTCAGCCTAKGGTGGCACAGGTCCCCTCATCATGCCCGAGGCCCTTCAGCTGGGAAGCGCCCTGGACTGTGCAGTTCTCAGGTTTTGTGCAGGGCTGAGGAGCTTCTTGGGATGTAGAACTTTCAGTGCAAAAAAACAAGAAAGTACAAGGCCACCTGGACAATCTGGTCACTCTTAGCGTGTGACTGTGCTGGGCCCTCAGGATGCTCCTGTTGGGGTGGCAAGCTCATAAGTAGACATATACAGCCAAGCAGATGCACAGGCCAATCTAGGTTACAGGGTATCCCAGAGAGGGGGAAGGTTTCCTGGCCGAGGTGTGCTTAGGCTGAGTTTTAAAAGGAGGACAGAAGCTTTTAAGTCAAAGAAAATATTATAAGCAAATGTGGGGGTAGGGGGTGTATGGGGCAGTGAGACTTGGTGCTGCAACCTGCACAGCCATGAATTCAGAACCCAGCGAGGGGYRATGGGAGATTGGAAAAGACAGACTCACAGAGGGAAAAGCTGGGAGCAGGTGGGACATCGTTCTCTGGTGGTGAAACAGTGACCCAGAGCTGGCTCAGCATGTTCATTATATAGGTTTTATCATCAAAAGGGTTTTTTTTTTTTTTTTGGTGAGGAAGTTTCTTCAAAGCAGGTAGGCTGAAGGACAAAGAATAATTATAATTATCTTTTTGTCCTTATAAATCTCTACCCCTGGTAGCTGGTGTCTGAACTCAGGGACAAGACGGATGTTCCTGTACCTGGTACAAAACCTCTTTAAGAAGAGCGTCACCACAGCAACTGGGCAATCTTTTTTTTTTTTTTAAGATTTCTTTTTTATATTTATTTTTTAGTTGTAATTGGATAGAATACCTTTATTCTGTTTATTTTTATGTGCTGCTGAAGATCAAACCCAGGGCCAAGCATGTGCTAGGCGAGCACTCTACCACTGAGCTACCTCCCCAGCTCAGCAACTGAGCAATCTTGACTTGCACCTTTGCACGGGAAGTTCCCAGAGCAGGCACAGGCTCCTGCTGCAAGACAGTCAGAGATCCTGAGCCAAGTCACCGCTCCCCGCTCCCCGCTCCCCGCAGTTTGGGACTTCCAGGGATSTGTGCCAGTGATACAAATTCACACGCCAGCATGTGTCCCTCCCCTGGGGCTGCATCCGTCTCTCTGGAGTGTGTGCAGGCTGCCCAGAGTTTTGTACACACTATCCTGGCACAATCTGGTCCAGAATCTCTAAATAATAGAGAGACATAATCATATTCATAGTTTCTCCTGCTGGTTGTAGGAGGCAGCCTTTGAAGTGCAGGCCAGGGAACCAGGCAGAGTTGTCCTGGAAGAAGTAATAAGTTTGAAGCCAGGAGGAAAACTATGCTTTGGTGCAGTCAGGGTTGAGGGAGGGAAATGGGGAAAAGAGCAATTCTGGAAAGTTCTGGCCTGAATTTGAAGACTTTGACCTACCAAAGAGACTGGGGTCTAAAGAGTGGAATTCCAGCCCCCCTCCATTGCATGCTGATGMGGGAAGCAGTGGACACATAAGAAGTCATCTCTCAGGTGTTCCCAAGGGCTTGTACATGAACAGAGGCAAAATGTCCTGGTACAGACTACCTTGGTTGCATGGTTGGCTTTGAGAATTCCAGGCTAGAATCCTGTCTGGTAAGTTCCGGGTCCATTTCTCTTTGGGGGCTGTCAAGTGTCCAACTTCTTGAGTGAGACCCAGGAGTTTGCCATTAGACTCCCCCATCCTGTATCACACTAATGAGCAAAGGTCAGAGTTGGTGTTCAGAGTCGATCTGAGACATTTCCCCAAGAGGTGACTAGAAAGTCATGAGGCAGATGTCTCTCAAAATGTATTTGGGCCCCTTGTTATCACAATCTCCTGAGGTACTCATTAGGAATGTAGTTCCTAGGCCGTGTTTTAGAAACTCATAAGCCCTTGGGGTGGGCCCCAGGAATTAGCATTTTGGACATTCTTCTGCTTCCTGTAAGAATCCTTTTGAGGGGCAGTTGCTATTTATTTATTTAATTGGGGAGGGGGGTRCAGGGATTGAATTTAAGGGCACTCAGCCACTGAGCCACATGCCCAGCCCTATTTTGTATTTTATTTAGACATGAGGTCTCACTGAATTGCTTAGTGCCTTGCTTTTTCTGAGGCTGGTTTTGAACTCACGATCCTCCTACCTCAGCCTCCTGAGCCGCTGGGATTACAGGGGTGCACCCACAGGCAGTTGCTATTTACATTAATAACAAAGCTTTATATCAAAGAAATTCATCTCTACTGTAAAAGTTTCTGGGATCAGCCAAACAGGGTTTCTCAGCCTTAACCTGATACTTTGAACTAGACAATTCTTTGTAGTAGAGGGGTATTAATGGGTAGATATAAGATGTCCCCCTAAAACTCCTATATTAATGTAGGAGTGTGAAATGATTGGATTGTGAGAGCCATCACCCAGTCCATCCTAGTTTAAATGGACTTATGTGGGGTTGAACAAGTGGGGTTGCCTGGAGGAGTTGAGTCATTGGGTGTTTTCCCTGAAAAGGTGCATCTTCCCTTGACCCCTTCCCTGCACCCCCTTCCTCCTAACCCCATCATGAGCTGAGCAGCTTCCTCCGCTGTGCCCTTCCCCCGTRGCGTGCTACCTCATCTTGGGCGCAGAGCAATGGAGCCATCCATCCATGGACTGAGACCTCTGAAACCGTGAGCTCTAAATAAAGAATTCCTTCTCTAAGCTGTTCTTATTGGCAATCCTGGTGACGGAAATGCAAAAGCTGACTAAAACAAGGGGCTATCCTGTGCATTATAGGATGTTTAGTGGCATCCCTGGTCTCTAGATGTCAGTAGCACCCTGCAGTTGTTGTGACAGCCAAAAATAGAAAAATGTCTCCAGACATTACCTACTAYTCCCCAGAGGAAATATATCTACCCTTCAAGGGGGATTTTGTCCTGAAATCTGGCCTCATAAGGCATGTGTGTAACCATTCTTGGAATGACCACCCACCAGGCTCCACCATGCTAGATTCTGGACCTCCTTACCATTCTCCAATTGTAAATGGGGCTGCAGCTGGTCGGGTGCTCGCCTCCTTCCCCACAGCCCACCTTTTCAACTAATCCCTCTCTGTTCCTAAAACACTGCTTGCATGGTCCCTTTTGCCTGGCACCTACACAGGGAGGGGCACAAAAAACTGGACTATGAACTATGGACAGGCAGCACAAACCTACCCTCCCACAAGAGTGACAAGGCTCCCAGGAGGTGACATATGCAGAAGAATTCTCCTTTTCCCACAATAGGAAGTTTATTTTTTCTCTCATTATAAAATAAACATCGTCACAGAAGAAAATTTGGCAAGTATAGAAAAGTACAAAGAAGAAATAAAGGTCACCTCTTATTCACTGTTGAGAGGGCCAATGTGGACAGGCAGGAGGCCTCCCCCTAGGGCTATTATTAGCACCCTCACTGATGTGCATGCAGGAATACCCAGGCAGGCAACACGGGACCAAGGGCAATAAAAAGCATTCCCACTCTTCCAAGTTCATCTCTGCTTTATTCAGATCCAGGTGACTCAGAGGCTTCAGGCAACCTATTTTGTAGGAGAGGGAGCACCTGTTCCCCAGCTCACTCTTCAAGAACCTCCTCCTGCAGGTGGAACACCAAAACTCATCCTTTATGTCAAAATGGGGCTGATCTTCAGGCTTGAAGTCCAGGTTGGGGCTACCGTCCTCATTGAGAATTCTTCGGGCTGTGTAGCCAACGATGGGGTATTTGGCCTTGTACACCCTGGTGAACACGTCATCCAGGGATTCCAGCTCCTTGGCTGTGAGGCCCGTCTTGGGGAGAAAGAAACACAGGGGTGGGCATGAGTGAATCGGGTTTGGTGTTGGTCTTTCTCCAACCCTGTCTCACAGCGTTCCTAAGACCACATGCAAGAGAAAAAAATATCTTGACGAGCCACATAGTGTGTGGGGATGGGTTATGGTATGGGGAGAGCAATGGCTTCACCATTTTTTGCTGTTTGATGTAAAAAGACCCTGTAGAGAACACCATCCTGGGTGGGGTGTGCTTTGGTACAGCCTGTGTCTACTTTCTCTGTCCTGATTCSTCTTACTGCCCTCTCTACTCCTCCTGTTATACATAAGGTCCATGTGTCAAAGTCTCGGTCTCTGGGTGATACTATTGGGAAATGGTGGAACCTTTAAGAGGTGGGGTCTAATGGGAGGTCACTGGGGGCATGACCTTGAAAGGGATTGTGGGATCCCAGCTTCCTTTTCTTTCTCTTTTGCTTCCTGGCCCTGAGGTAAATGGTGTTGCTCTGCCCCATGCTCCTGTCATCATGTTCTGCCTCATTACAGACTCAAAAGCAATGGGGTCAGTTGATCGTGGACTGAAACCTCTAAAACTATGAGTTGAAATAAACCTCTTTTCTTTATAAGTTAATTATCTCAAGTGCTTTGTTTCAATAACCCAAAGCCAACTAACATATTTCCCCTTTTCTTAATTTCTTGCAGCTCAAAAATTGGATTTCATCTCAATGTTGATTTGATATTGAGCACATTTGGGCAAATAACAGCCTTATTATGGGGATCAATTTTTTTTTTAATGCTATATTCTCCTTCACAGAAATAGGAGCATAGAGGGAGACCTTGCTTTTCAGTCCAGTTCATTCACTAAGCTACCTAGAGTGGTTGGCAGTGGGGCAGGTCTCAGAGATGAACAGCAAACCTGAAAGAGGCTGGGATGTGGTGAGTGCAAACTGTGAGAGGGATCAGGCTGCCAAGGGAGGCTGGGGCCAAACTATGAAGATCACTGAGTTAGATCACAAGCTCACAGGAGTTTGGACCTGATCTTGGGAGGTTTCTGAATAGATGTGACACAGTAAGATAATCTACTTAAGAAAGTGATTGAATACCACACCAAGTGGACTAGAGGGTAAATAGGCTAAATTTAAAAACTCTGCTATTGCCCTCAGGGTTTAAAAAAAAAAAAAAAAAAAAAACATGGCTGAGGGTATGAGGCATTTTGTCAAAATCCCATAATCTGGCTCACGATATCATGGGTGAGGTCTGCAGGATCCAGGGACATCTTGGCCACTCCTCTGGTGGAGTCCTTCCCAGTCAAGGCATTGTAGGGGGCTCCTCGTCCATAAAACTCTGCAGTAGGGAGGAAGGAAGAGTGTGGGTGTGCAGGCGGCACAGCCAGGATCCTGCACATGGAGGCTTCTGAGGTCCCCAGTGCAAAGAAAGGCTGCAGGCCCGCAGACAGACAAAGCTACGAAGATAGAAAGTCCAGCAGCCGGCTCCCGGCCAGCAGGTGGGATTTCACTAATTCAAACGTGGAACAAATCATACACATGAGCTGAGAGGTGACTTGGGGGGAAATGCAAAATGAAATTAGTCCTCTAAAAATATTACAAATGCAAACAAGAAAAAAAATGTCTGGCCTCTTTAAATATTGGTGGATGCCGAGTCTATGTCTGGTCATCGGTTTTGGAATTAAACAAAAGATGAACCATTACAAAACTACTTCCATGATGTCATTTGTAGTTATAAGTAGGGAAACCATTATTCAGTGGCATCAAAATATTCTACGATGCCAACTCCTTGCTAAGGAATATTTTTCTCACTGCTTCATTTAGAGTCAACCATCAAGTTTGAATCTGATTCTATCGGCAATGGGAAGCCCTGGGAGGCTTCTGAGTAGGAGCATGACGTTAGCCGGAAAAAAATCTGTTGATGTAAAACTCTGACAAAGATCAACTCAATTCTGGTCATTTAAGATGCAAGGAAAAGAACTTTCCCAACATTGTCTTCCTTTCCTCACACCTCCAGGTACCCACTGTGGCTCCCGAGATCCCCCAAAATAAAGACTTAAAATGCCAAACCACTTACCCTTTCCAGAAGTGACATCAAACACCACTCCCTTCACTGCCAAGTAGATAGGTTGATCTTCCTAGAAAGTAAGGGAGAAACTGTGAAGGAGAAACAAAGAGCCCGGCTCTTACAGGACAGAGTTAGTAAAATCTCTTCCCATCACGAGCTGTGCAAAGAGCGGTGGATACATCACAAAGCCTGGCTCTCAGCAAGCTTGCCACCTTCCCCAGCAATGTCACGAATGCTCACGAAACCTTGAAAAAGTCACAGCATCATGACAAGAGCACTGCAATCCCTTCCTCAAAAACAAAACAAAACAAAAAAACAGGAATTGGAACAACTTCTTGCAGATAAAAATTCAAAAGAATATTAAATAATGAATGATTTAAATCAGTCCAAATGTCCCCATCGTCCATGGACATACATAGATACAACCAGTGTAGATGATCTAGTTTATATTTCAATTTTTGTAGGCAACATTTTTTCACATAACATTTCCACATATTAGAAAAATGGCTGTCACTTAAACAGCTCCACGGGGCCCTATCTTATATGAGTGTCACCATACTATACACCTGCTTGTTTAGCTAGTCTTCTGTCTGGGGCTTTTGGGTATTTCCATTGCTTGGAACTATAAATGTGAGCATTATGAATATCTTCCTATAAATTACTTTGTAATTTGTCAAGTTACTTCCTTGAGGTTTATTTCAACATATGGAATTCCTGGGTCAAAGGACACAAATAAATTCCTTTAAAAATCATTAAAACATGTACAGTGGCAGAAATGTGCAAGCAATGCTGTTTGTCCACAGTTCTACTAACAACGGGTTATATACTTTATTTTGGCGGTATTAGTGGCTATAAAATGTTCCCTTAGAAACTGTACTACCCCACGACAACAACAAAAAAAGGGAATAATACAAAAGCACAGGGAATCAGGCTGGGGTGACTGTCATGGTGCCATGTCACSAAGGACCAGGTCTCTCTTCCATCTCAACCCATCAGGGTACAGATGAGCAGGAGGCTCAAAGGCCCAGTGAAGGGGGGAGTTGCTGCTGGGTCTCAGGATCTTTGGCTGCTTGGCTTCTCTCTGGGGCAGCCGTGGGGTCCTTGCTCTTGTGGAGCTCACGGCCAAGTGTTTTTTGACCACATTTAACAGGCAAAGGAGTTAAGCAACTTACACAAGGAAACGTACCCCACTGCCACATGACTTGTCAGGCCTCAATTTCTCTAATGTCACATGGGGACCCCACCTTCCTACCCTGCAGGAGTGCCAGAGGAAATTGTGTTTGGAGAACCTCCCGGACCAACATGGGAGCTCAGTAAATGGTTGGCTTTTGTTATTCCCTAAAGACAGGCCTCAGAACTTCCCTGACTTTGTTGACACTTGTTAGGCCTCAACTAACAAGGGTCATTTAAATGGAGTAGCTTCATGTGGCAGCAGACTGCACTTGTCATTGTGTCAATTTACCGCCCTTCCTTCACGGTGATGACTTGTTGTTCCTCAGCTTCGATTGCTTCTCAAGTGGAGTCATGTGTTTATATCAATTTCTAAAATACATGACAGCTATAATTACAACAGTTTGTCATATTTTCCATTCTGTGGACTTTTCTTTGATATTTTTTCTTTTTCAGTGTGCMAAGAGTCATAGAAACATAATATACCTGCTATAAAATCATGCATTTTGACTGGGTGCAGTGGTGTATGCCTGTTAATGGTGAGGCTGAGCAGAGGATCACCAGTTTGAGGCCAGCTTGAGCAACTTGGTAAGACCTTGTCTCAAAATAAAAAGGACAGGGGGTATAGCTCCATAGAGCACCCGGGGGTTCAATCCCCAGTACCAAAACAAAACATACATCTTTATCACTAATGCTCTCCACTTCTTCAACAGTGAAATATTTATCTCCTCGTTAAACTACATACTGAAAGCTGGGGAACTCATAGTGAAGAGGTAGAAAGGTGTGTTTAGCACTCCTAGGGACATTGCTGTGACACAGATGTGGCAGAGGTGAGCAGAGGAGGGGTCTTATCAGCTAAACGCCAAGTGAGTGGTGCAGAATAATCTGTTAGCTGGAATCCACTGACAACAGGACCTCACCACAGATTTTCAGGTCTGGGAAATGAAGACCAAGAGGGCAGAGGGTGGGCAGAAGCCCTGGGAGCATAAATAAGAAGAAAGGAGAAAAAACGAGAGACGTGATAAAGTCATGCATTCATCACCAGCTTCACCCCATGATCTCTCCATCCCCTCATCTACCTGGATAGGTGAGATTTTTTTTTTTAATCTTTATTTTATTTATTTATTTTTTATGTGGTGCTGAGGATCAAACCCAGTGCCTCACACGTGCTAGGCAAGTGCTCTACCGCTGAGCCACAACCCCAGCCCTGATAGGCGAGATCTTTTGTGCCCATTTAAATGACCCTTATGGATGTTCATTTTGGAGACATCATTTTATCTGTTTATGACTATAGCAGGTCATAGATAATAGCAGGAGGGTTGTCTTTTTGCCAACAAAGCAAAGTAGGAGTCACCATGGTGTCACAATCTAAGTGCAAGTTTTCAAGTGAAACARGCCTGGCTTTGAGTTGTGTAGCCTCTCTGTGTCTCGGTTCTCTCCTACACAACAGGAGGATAATAAAAGTCCTTACTCAATGGGTTAAGATTCACCAAAGCAGGCTGGGGTTGTGGCTCAGTGGTGGAGCRCTAGCCTAACACGCATGAGGCACTGGGTTTGATCCTCAGGACCACATATAAATAAATAAATAAAGGTATTATGTCCACCTACAATTAAAAAATATTTTTAAAAAAGAGAAAAGATTCATCAAAGCAAGATATGAAAGGCCATTAGCAGTTCAGGGAAATAAATGTTACTTTCCTTTATCATCCTTTAAGTTTTAAATATTGTAAAAGCAAAGAGGAATCAGATAACCAAGTGGAAGGAGATCACAGAGTTTTCTAAAGGAAAGTGTGTTGTTGTTTTGTTTTTGTTTTGGTACCAGACATTGAACCCAGAGGCACTTAACCACTAAGCCACATCCCCAGCCCTTGTTTTATATTTAGAGACAAGGTCTCCCTATGTTGTTTAGGACATTGTTAAGTTGCGGAGGCTGGCTTTGAACTCGAGATCCTCCTGCCTCGGCCTCCCTAGCCGCTGGATTGCAGGTGTGCACCACCTTGTCCAACTGTTCCCCCACCCCCCACCAGTAATTCCCAAGTGACAAGGACTTTGGAGGAATTTGAAGTTGAAACAGGAAGTGGCCTTGAAGACAATCTATCAACACCTTCATTTTGCAGATGAGGTTAATTGGGTCCAGGGAGTTGAAGTGACTTGTTCTGAGTCACAGAGTGAACAGAAGGGAGGCAGGACCTAGAACCCAGAGCTTAGGGATCCAACGTTCAGTCCACTCTCTTGCCCTTCCCACCAGATGGCACACCCGCACTGGCCTAGCTCTAGGAGAGGAACAAACAGGTAGTGGGTGAGAGGGACCCTACAGAAGGAGACCAGGGCCTTCACTTTGCTTTTGGGTCTTGGGTTTGCCTCACCAGCTAGGTTTCTTTCCTTCCTGTGGTCAAGCAGGGGCCAGTGGAAAGTGCCATGACAGTACCACATTGTGGGGGACACAAAAGCAGTGGAGCAAACAGCCTTATCCCTCAACTGGCCAGTGTTTCAGAGCCTCCAACACCCTCAGATCCTAGACCAGAGCCTGAAACAGAGGAGTTCCTCACTGGTGACTCTTATTTATTTATTTATTGTTGGGGGTGGGAGGTGCTGCAGATGGAGCTTTTTTTTTTTTTTTTTTTGAAGACAGGATCTTGCTAAATTTCCCAAGCTAGCCTCAAACTTGTGATTCTCCTGCCTCAACCGTATGAATAGCTGAGATTATAGACATGTACCACAGTGCCTGGTTTTGTAAGGGTTTTTTTGTGTGTGTGTGAGTTGTTGTTGTTTTTTTTACAGAAAAAAATTCTTGCCCTCCAATCATCTAAGATCATATTTTTCTTTTCTTTCTTTATCTTTTTCTTTTCTGGAACTGGGGATTGAACCCAGGGATTCACACATGTGAAGCAAGTGCTTAACCACTGAGCTACATTCCAGTCCTAAAAAAAATGTGTATTTCTCACCACAGAGGCATTGGTAAACTATTTCTGGGTCGTGGGATGAATTTAATGATTTATCAACAGCTTTTTGTAAAAATATATTTTTTTAGTTGTAGATGGACATAATACCTTTATTTTTTTTATTTATTTTTATGTGGTGCTGAGGATTGAACCCAGGGCCTCACACTTGCGAGGTAAGTGCTCTGCCACTGAACCATAATTCCAGCCCCTCAACAGCTTTTTTTTTTTAAAAAAGACAATGAAATAGGAACTAGTAGGAGAGTTTGATTAGCTTTAATAATAAATTAACAAAATAATAACAGTTAACATTTATTAAAGTTTATGCTAAACATTATGCCAGGCTTAGTCTAAGYACTTTGCATATTACTGTCAATTTTTTTTTTTTTTTTAGTACTGGAGATTGAACTCGGGGACACTCAACCACTGAGCCACCTCCCAGCCCTATTTTGTATTTTATTTAGAGACTGGGTGTCACTGAGTTGCTTAGTGCCTTGCTGGCTTTGAACCTGTGATCTTGAGCTGCTGGGATTATCGGCATGAGCCACTGTGCCGGGCTACTATCTCATTTAACTCATTATAACCATTATAGGCACTCCTGTTACAACCACTGTGATAGTGAGCTTTATGTTGATTTGGATAGGCTACTGAACCCAATTATCTGATTAAACACTCARTGAGGTGTTGCTATGAAGGTATTTTGGAAACTTGATTAATATCTACCATCAGGAGATGATGATCTGATACTCTACATAAAGGAGAGTATCAGATAATCTGAGTGGGCTTGATCTGATCAGTTGGAAGGTCTAGAACTAAGGACAAGTCTGACTTGATCCGTTGAAAGGTCATGAGGTTTCCCTGAGGAAGAAGTTGTTCCTGATAGCTTGCCTTACAGATTTTTGACATTCTTAGCCAGCTCCCATAATTGTGTAAACAATTCCTTGCAATAAGTCCTATCCCAGGGGCTGGGGAGGCTGAGACAGGAGGATTGCGAGTTCAAAGCCAGCCTTGGCAATGGCAAGGCACTAAGCAACTCAGTGAGACMCKGTCCCTAAATAAAAAACAAAATAGGGCTGGGGGTGGAGCTCAGTRGTCAAGTGCCCCCAATCAATCCCTGATACCAACAAAACACTCTAAGAGTCTTTCTGTCATCCCAGGTACTATTGTTGTACCCTCCATTTTGAACTGTCTTTCATTGGATTCTGTGCTGAGGGTCCCCAGGACCACCCCACATATGGAAGAACTCAGCATATGGTTGTATTCACGGCTAGAAGGGGAAAAGAAAGAGACAGAATCTGGAGTAAACTCTGTGCAGACTTCTTTAAACTCTCTTCTTCCCTTGACATACCCTTCCCCCAGCAACACAATGCAGCCCCCAGGAGCGCCTTGTTGCCCAGGGAAGCCCATTTAGAGACTCAGCACCCAAGTTTTGTATTGGGAGCTGGTCCGAGTGCTGCTGCATACAATRTTCAACATAAGCCACACTATCCATATGTACAGCAGAGGCAGGTAAGCCACCCTTACCGTCAGGGAGGGGTGGGAACATAGGAAATCCAGACACCAACCAAGGGCCACCCTTGCAAGCTGGCCTTTCTAGAGTGCAGGCCTGCCATGTTAACTCTTCTCTAAACAGATTCCCTGACTCTGCACCCAAAGATTGCATCTCTTAATACCCAGTCACTTCCTTGTTGTGTCTCCCTCCTATGTCTTCATGGACCCATAGTTCTAACCAACCTTTTAAAACCTGATGCCCAGGGCCAGGATTCCAAGTCTCCCTTAAAATCCTAGTCCATCTAAAACCTACTAGGTCAGAGAGTTTGAGCAAGAGAAGATCCAGCCACTTCCTGCTCTACCATTAATGGGTGGCATGCCTGTCTCCTCATCTATGAAAGCACTAAATTGGTTTCCCCAGCTCTGAAATGACATTATACTGTGCTCTCCCCACCAAACCTAATGTCCTGACCTCCCCTTCTAACGTCGCCCTGCCCCCAGGGCCCTTCTGAGTACCGCCTGGTTCCCTCACAAGGCATGGGGTCCCCCAAACCTGAYGGGCAGGTGGTTGTGAGTTTCTGGAGTCCTCCACACTACTGGCTGAACTGGATGTGGGAATGGGTGTGTTGGGGGATTTTGTCGCTAATCCTTTTCCCCGGTCTGCGCTCACCCCTGGCTCGGGCTCATCCTCAAGGGCACAGACACTACTTAGATATGAGGAGTCAGCTGCGGAGGAGGCCCGGGATCTAGAGGCAGGAAAAGGAAGTGCAGGAAAAGCCTGGATGGTCCCTGGACCTGCCCCAATCCCCACCTCACCCAAGGAACAGGCTTTGCTTCCCTCCCTTCCTCACCTGCCATTCCCCAATGAATACGCAGAGTGACCGCCACCAGGTGATGCTAACATTAGAAACAAARTTTTTCGGTTTGTACACAGACTACCTGCAAAAAGGCTGGCTCCCGGCGGCAGCTCCCGGGGAAAGGGAAGCGCCGGAGAGGGAAGCGCGGGCCAAGCAGGGCGCCCGACTCTGCAGGACTCGCCCTCACCCTGGAGAGAGGAGGCCCAGCCCGCCGGGGCTCGGGCTCCGGGAGGGGGCGCCCGCCGCGAGCCGCGCGTCCCCAAGGCGCCTCCCGGGTCCCGCCTCCCTCCCCAAGGGCAGYCGCGGCCCCGATCCCTAGGCCCGTGCCGCGCCCGCCTACCTCCTCCCCGCCGTAGCGAGCCAGCTCCTCCTCGGTGAAGAGCCGCACCGGGGGCCCCCGCTCCGCAGGGCGCGGCGCCTGCCCAGCCTGGGCTGCGGGCAGCCCCGGGGCCAGCGCCAGGACCAGGGCCAGCGCTGCCAGCGGCCGCAGCCGCCACCCGGGCGCCGGGCCCGCCATGGTGAGCGCGCAGCGCTGGGCGAGGAAGGCCCGCGGCAGGGCCCGCGCGCTCCCGCCCCGCCGCCCGCCCAGGGCCGCCCCGAGGGCGGGGACCCCCCAACCCCCGCCTCCCCGGCGCTACTGCTCCGCGCAGCGCAGCGGGGCCACCCGCCTTCTGGAAAYTTGGGAAGTAGGATGACAACCCCTGCTCCTTACCCCAAACTACCCACTGAAAGTTAGCACACAACGACAGATGTCAGTGTAGCTCCTTCATTAGGTTCACTTATGAAGGACACTTATCAGCACCTAGGCTGGTATATTTTAAAAATAGAACCCCAATTTTATTAATTCGCTTTTACTTCTCCCTTTCCCCCCAACCCCCTCTCCTTGTAGTTAAATGTTGAGTCCCCAAAAGGATTTTTGCAAAGTGTAGGGCACAACACAAGCGTGTAATAAAAGGTAACATTTGTATAAAGCTAAGGTCACTGAATTATTCAGAAAGTATTTTTTAAGGTCCTTCATGTACCATGTTACTGGTGACCCATCATTGGTTAGGACAGACCCATGCCTACCTGGAGCTTACATTCTATAGGCAGTCATGAAGTTAGCTAGGTAAGTAGTATGTTAGGTAATAAATACTAGGGAGAAAAATAAAGCAGGTCAAAGGAATTGGGAAGTGCGAGTTGCCGCCTTAAGTAGGCTGACCTGGGAAGACCCTATTGAGGAGTCTATAAAAATCTTCTGGAGGTGAGGGAGGGAGCCCTGGGGCAAAGAGCAATCTCTGCAAAGGACCAAGTGCCTAAATGCTGGAGAAGGAGCATGCCCCACCTCCTGGAAGAACAGCAAGGAGGGAAGACAGTGGGAAATGAGGTCCAGGAGGTAGCAGAGTAAGGTGAGTGGGTGGAGGTGGAATCTATGGAACCTCACAGTGTATTTTTAAAATACATGGTCTTTTATTCAGAGTGAGTGAAACAGAAGAATAAATTGAAGTGTTAACCAAATAACTCTGGCTATTATGCTGAAAATGGACAGAAGCAAATAAGCCATTGCAATAATCGAGGCAAGTGATGATTGATAGCGGCTTGGACCAGGGGACATTGGGAGAAGTAGCTGGATTTTGGATTTGTTTTGAAGTTGTGGCTGATTGGATTCTCTGGCCAATGGGGTGTGAAGGACAGAGACTAGTCATGGGTGATCGCAGGGTTTTGGGCCTGAGCAGCTGGAAAGATGGAGTTGCCAATTACTGAGATAAGAGAAATGGTAGGAGGAGCAGGTTTTAGAGGGAGACCATCAAGATCAGTTTGGAGCTTTTCAGTTTGAGATACATATTAAACATCTAACTGGAAATAGCAAATTGGTAGTTGAATATATGAATCTGGAATTAGGGGAGAGTAATACATTTTGGAATCATTGGTGCATAGATTATATCTAAAAAACCACAGAATTGGATGAGATAGCCAAGGAAATCCATATGGGGAGAGAGAAGGTGGGGACCAAGGCCTCAGCTCTTTGAGCCTGCCAACATTTGGTGGTTGGAAGAACTGGCAAAGGAGACCACAGAAGGGCTTACTGTGTCAGGTACTGGTACCAGCACTTTTATGCATATTAACTCATTTAAGCCTCACTATAGCTCCATAATGTAAAAATTATTATTATCCCCCATTTTTCAGATTCTGAAACTAAAGTGCAGGGACCTAAAGTATCTTGTCCAAGGTCACATAGCAGGTGGCAGAAGCAAGACTCAAGCCCAGGCCACGTGTTCTCAAGTCTGTCCTAACCACCAGGTTATAGCTCCCCTCAGTGTCTGTACTAAATGTTTACACATTTACTTATTCAACAGAATGGGCTTCTGGAGTAGAATGACCTTAACAGGATCTGTCCACTAGGCCCTCTGAATCTCAACTGTGGCCTCAGTGACATGCCAGCCTGCCCTTTTCATAGGATTGTGTTGAAACTAACAATGATAATGGATATGGAAGGTTACGTAAGCTTTGCTGTACATGACACAGGACCTCTGGATTAGAAGAGGCCCTTCTAAGTCCCTGGGGTAGAATGGCATGGCCCTTTACAGCATCTGTACCACAGAGTGTGCTGCCTCACTGCCCAAGTCCTTTCTTTTTCTATAGGGTGCGTCAGGACCTTTGTTAAGTCAAAAGATCCTACTGTAATTTCTACTGATCACATGTAGCTGCCTCTTCCTTAGGGTGCTGAGAAAGCATATAACTGAATAATACRTTCATATGCCCTTGGTTTCTCTAGTTGTCCCCCACCGYCCACYAGTTRTCCTTTCTTTCATTCTTTCTTTTGTTGTTTTTTGTTCGGTACCAGGGATTAAACCCAGGGGCACTTAACCACTGAGCCACATCYCCAGACTTTTTTATTTTTTATTTTGAGACAGACTTTTTTATTTTTTATTTTGCTTAGGGACTCGCTAAATTGCTGAGGCTGACTTTGAAATTGGGATCCTCCTGGCTTAGCCTCCCAAGCCGCTGGGCTTACAAGCATACACCACCACACCTGGCCCAGTTGTTCTTTTCTACCTGAACCCAGATTCATTTTTTCAAACCACTTGGAATCAGTCAGCCACCTTCAAGGAAAATAGAAATTATTCTTAGCAAAGCAGAATGGCTGTGATATAGGTAGTAAGTTACATAGATGATGGAAGAGGCCAAGACAACAACCCCAAAGCAAACTAGAGAAGAGCAACAGAAGAAAGTCACCATCCAGTGGGAGGGAGGAGGTGGTATTTAGTACCAGGCTCCTGCAGCCTGGGTCACTTGGCAGAAGCTAGACTGATATGAAGCTGTTGTGTAGTGCATGAAGTCACAGAAGAGCTGCTGCCAGAGGCAGGGAAGGGCCTAGCAGTTGTATTTGAAGGCAAAGAGGAGAGTGCAGAGGAAAACCCTGGCTTTTCCCTTATCATGACACCTTCTAATCTCTGGCAATACTTCCTTGACCTAACTCTCTGGAAACCAAGCACATGGGGCCAGTTCCTGCAACCCGCAGCTGAACAGGAGAGGGGAAAAATGGATCCGAGAATAAATAAGCCCAGGATCAGCTCAACCCAACCCCCAGTTTCTGACCCCTGCCTACCTCTCTGATCACACTGCCTTCTCCAATTGCACTGCCTCCTGCTTGTGCTTCAGCCTAGGGCCTTTGTACTGTGCCCATGCTCTCTGCCAGGGGATGCAGAACATCATGTGCTGGCCCCTTGTCATTCAGGTCTCAAAAGTAGCTACCATCATAAGGTCTCTCTCTCTTTCATGAGGCCTCCCTTAATGTTGCTTAGATAAATTAGTGTACCCCACTCATAGCTGCTGTCATGCCCTATCCTATCTATTTTTTTTTTTTAGGTACCCAAGATTGGACTCAGCCCTTTTTATTTATTTATTTATTTTTAGAGATAGGGTCTTGGTAAGTTGCTGAGAGCCTCACTAAGTTGCTGTGGCTGGCTTTGAACTTGCAATCTTCCTTCCTCAGCCTCCTGAGCCCCTGGGATTATACGTGTGTGCCACAGTGCCCAGTTTTATTTTCTTTTGAGCTTTTATTGCTAGGTGAGATTGTTTTTGTTTGTTTAGTCAACGACYATTTGAACAACTAGTAAAAGAAGAACACCATCAAAGGTACTGGGATTCAGCAGTGCACAAAGAATACCACCTTCAATGGGGGAGGGGAGAAGRGACAGGGGACTGGAGGGAAAAGAGCAGGGAATCATGCACTGAAATCGAATTCCATGCATGTATGCGTTTGTTGGGATGAAGCCAACTACTGTGTATAACTATAAAGCTCTAAAAAAGAAAGAGAGGGAGAGAGAAAAAAGAACTCTATCTTCCTAGTGCTTCCACTCTCATGGAGGGAGACTGAAAATAAATGARTTGATCAGAAGGTGCATGTGTTAGTAAGAAAAGTGGAGTAGAAGGATTGTTGAAAATGGAGTTTGCTGTTTTAATGGGTTTCTCAGAAGAAGGTGATAAGTTGACATTTGGAAAAAGATCTGAAAAGGAGATGAGGAAGTGAGTCATGTGTACATCTATTTCTTTTGAATGTCTATGTGACTTCTTTTGGATATCCAGTGCAAAGGTGCTAGTTTTATTTTTGTTTTGTTTTTTGTGGTGCTGGGGATTGAACCCAGGGCCTTGTGCATGCAAGGCAGGCACTCTATCAACTGAGCTATACCCCCAGCCTGGTGCTAGATTGAAATGTGCTCAACATCTTGGAGCTGGGGAGTCGGGGAGCATGAGTATTAGGAAAGGTGGGTGCTAGAGGACAGATCCTTTGGGCCTTGTAGGTYACTGTGGAACTTTGGATTTGGAAGGGTTGGAGCAGAGAAGCCCTTTGATCTGACTTTAACAAGCTCTCCCTGGCTGCTCTGTCAGGAAAAACCTACATGGCATCAAGGGTAGAAATAGCCTGGCCGGGAGGCCACGGAAAATAATCAATGAGAAATGCTGGAGTGGGTGGCCATGGCAGAGGCGGTGAAGAGTACTCAGATTCTGAATACATTTTTAAATTAAAGCCATGAGGATTTGCTGATTTAGTTGTGGGATGTGAGGGAAAGGGAGGAATTGAAATGACTCCAAGAATTTTGGCCACAGTGAATTCAAGGATGGGTTTTTTTTTTTTTTAAAGGTTATCAGATTTGATTTTTCTTAAGAGAGAGAGAGAGAGAGAGAGAGAGAGAGAGAGAGAGAGAGAGAGAGAGAATTTTTTTTAATACTTATTTTTTAGTTTTCAGCAGACACAACATCTTTGTTTGTATGTGGTGCTGAGGATTGAACCCGGGCCGCACGCATGCCAGGCGAGCGCACTACCGCTTGAGCCACATCCCCAGCCCAAGGATGGGGTTTAAAACAGTGTGGGGGAACGATGGGAGGAGCAAGTTTGGGGTAAAAAGATTCCCCAGTTTGGCTTTGAACCTTGAGATAACCACTAACACTAATCTACTACTTAACATGTGCCAGATAATGTTCTAAATTCTTCACATCTCAGAGTTCTATGAATTGGTGGTAATGTTCCCACATTACTTGTGGGGTCACTGAAGCACAGGGAAATTAATTTCCCAAGATCACA